TCAATTACTTCCATTCAGGACGTCAGCGGGAGGCTGCCCGTTCAAGGTCCGGTTATCAACATCAAATGATGGCCAAGCTCTTGTTGTGAAGGAGATCTGTCATGACCACAACCATGAACCAGGCAAAGTAAGTTCTATGGCAGTGATGCTCTAGCATTGGTTTATTGTTTTCATTGAAGGTTAGTTTTGTGATACCTGAGTAGGTAGTCAATGGCCCTGTAGGTACTGACGTAGGTTTTTATGTTTTATGATGTTCTAGAGCATTGTTCAGGCAGATGAAAGTTTGTTTGAAATGCAAAGGATATTTAGTTGTGATTAGGCAGAGGAGCTTCAGTGTATTATTTTTAAGAGAAGAGATTGGAAGGCTCTTGGCAAGAGCAGTAACAGACCATCAGATTGCTTTCTTTATTCTGAATTTTACGTTTATATATTACCATTTTTTTTCTGCAAATGTTTATTCTAGAAGCTACACGAAGAGCCAAGGCGCTTGTACAAAAAGACCACAAACCGCACAACAGTGCGAAAGCCCGTCCGTTACATTGTGAACAAACAACGTGTGACCAGTAGTACTGGAGGCAAGTCAAAGGGTCGCCAAGAAAACGAGTCTCACATCCAACTGGGACAATCTCCCTTCCACCACCTCCACCTCCACCAACAGCAATATCAGCAGCAGCAACAACAAATAAAGTTGCAGCTGCAACACCACTTGCAGCAACAGCAGCAGCAACAGCAGCAGCTGAGGCAGAAGCAAGCGGAGGTCATACAGCTGGACTCGCCAGATCACATTGATACGCCAGACCACCTGAGCTCCCCGGATCTTTCCAACACCTTTGATCAGCTGGGTTCACTCAACAACTCCGTCGATCAGTACACGTACCTGCCACCCTCACCCATCTCTCCGAGGTATGTCCGTTGGCGTATTCCGTAAGTGCGTTATAAACTTTTTAACCTTGTTGTCCAGGAAGGCTTGCTCCAACTCTAACTTGTGTGAGACAGTGTATATAAAAAAGAATGTGATTTTTCATTTTGAATTTTTTAGATTTTTTAAAATCCTTTTTTTCTATTTTGTAATCTTAGTGTGTTCTCTCTTGTTTTGGTTAATTTTTTAACCCTTGTTCCCTTTTTTATGAATGTTAGAGATAGCAAGCCAAAACTTATTTAAGTTGAACACACTTGAATCATAGCAAATAATTATGTATCCAACCTGGGGACAGTTTGCAATGCTTCATGTGTATTAATTTTAAGGTATGCTTAGCACTGCTCTGATCTGTATTGCATTAGACTTTTATCATTAGACTAGAGAGAATAATATTACTTTTAAGGCAGTCTCTCCTGATGTGCAAACTAAGTATTTTTTAGAGCAATAGACGATCATTCCTCAGGGATCAGTCCCAAGTAAGAAGGACATATAAAATCCCCCTACATGTGAGAGATGACCAGCTAGTACGAGCGTATAAAAAGTGCCCCTCCTCAAGTGAGGCTCAACTCTGATGAAATCTTTGCTCAAGAGAAGTCAAAAAGGATCCAAAGTCAAGTCACGCACACACGCACACGCACCGCTTGCATTGGCTGCTTCCCTCATATGTGACGGTGTTGGACCTCAGCACTTTCATGGCAGATCTCTCTCTGCTGCTGATGCAACCATACCTATGCCAGAATTCCCAATTTCAGAAATCTTGGCCGTAGCCGGTTGTTGGCGTGGCGACAACGGGGCTAGCGAACTTGTGGGTCGCTTCATCTCATTGTCGACTGACCCCATCACTAGTTTGAACCTTTGACATCTAACTCGACATCAACCCAATACCCATTGCACGTTCCTATACCACAATTCATGTAGATGTACGTTCAATTTTCTTTGTGACCTTTTTTAGAACTTTTCTCAGTTTTAGTCAAGACATTTAAAAAAGATAAAAGAGGAAAGAAGAAAGTGAGAGAGAGCGCGAGAGAGAGAGAGAGAAAGGAAGGAAGGAAGTAAGAGAAAGGAAGAAAGAGAGGAAGGAGAAAAAAAAAGAAGAAAAAGATGAGGAAAATTTTCACGGACCTAGTACTTTAATTCTTTTTACTCAAAAATTGGTTTACTTGTTTATTATTTGAGATTGCTCCAGAATCCATAGCCCATAGATCTAAAGAAGAAATTTTCACACACTCTTTTGCCTATATTTTTGATAGAGAATGACCAACAATTTATTTTCAGGTTTTCATGCATGGGTAGGTCTACAGAACTTGGTCATCTTCTTGTTCTACATTTAAGCTAATGATAGACTTAAGAAAAGTATGTTTTTAAACTTAAGACTATTTGTTTAAACTAGCTGTCAATTTTCACGTACCATCAGAGCAGGCAGAAATTGGCTAAAGACAATACCAGTAATCAGGCAATCTTTACAGCTGATTTTGGTTTGACAAAGAGCCGACATTTTGGTCAGCTGAACGTAACTGGGCCAGATTCCCTTTGTTTAGGGTTTAGTTAAGAGAATTTAAAGAAAATACAAAAAAAAAAAAAAAAAAAAAAAAGGATGAAAGATCAAAATTTTAATTTTGTAAAGAATACATATACTTTTATATTACCTTGATGTATTTTTAAATTTTATCTAATTGACCCCTTTTTGGATATCCTAGTATGAATCTGGACTGGCTTGCAAAGGCTGGCTCAGAAGAACAGCACTTGAGAGAATCTGGTAAAATTTGAATAAAGAAAAAAGTAGACATTTGCAACTAAAACTTTGTCATTCTGGGCTCTTCAAACTTTTCATAATACAGTTTCCAAAAGCTGTTTTCCAGACCATTGGTTATGATGTCGGACAACAACAAAAAACTAGTATTTTGGTTTGATCCCAGACTCTGGGCAAGTGCTGTACTTGACTAACATTAGAGTAAGTATAAGGGCGGTGTTGTGAGATTGGAAGTAATGTACCTTGTAACTTCATTGAAGTAAATGATAGGGGCAGAAAAACTATTTTTTTGGCATAGTTTCAAATGTTAAGATTACTTTTGACTTGTATTTTATCAGATACATTTGACTTTGAAGATTATTTATATGCTGCCTGTAAAGTAATATTACTTAGAATCTAGGAAATAATTAAACTTCAAAGATAATTATCAATTTGATACTAGCTTAGTCCAGTTGAATGATCTGTTTTATACTGTGCATCTTGTTGGCAGCAAAAACCTATCCCACTGCCCCTAGCATTATCTTACTGTCTTGGGCACGTAATCTTGAAAGCCACGAGACGACCCATCCCTGTATTGTGAGGACAAGTTGCAGGTTCTTTTACATTACAGCCTGTCTAGTGGCTGTCCGGTTGACTGCGAAGAGGAGGATCGTCTAGAGCCTATTCTGGACTTGGAAGAGGCCCTAGAAGAAGCCCTTGGCGACCTGGACAGTGTGGGCAGCATGGAGGTGGATGCCAGCCTGCGATTGACCTCGGTCGGGAGTAACAACCCTCCCCTTGTGTCCCACTCGGAAGCGGTCTCTCCCGAGGAGCACACAGGTCCACCTCCAGCCAAGAGGCAGCGTGGACGTCCCAGGAAACAGTCATTTACAGGAAGTACGTTTGATAATAGTGTGGACATTCCAGATCTTGATTTCAGTCTGAGTGACTTGATGGACTTTGACGTCTACCTGTTCTAGCCCAGGGCCGGTGGTGCAAGGAACTGTCACCCGTAGCTACAAAGTCAAAGTTCAAACTTGTACAGCTGCCTCTTGTATGAACTTGACTTCATAATAGTTGATCAAAGCGTAGTAAACTACTGTACCTTTTCTTTTGTAAATCTTCCCTTCTGTTTCTGTTTTATATCAGTTTGTATGGAACTGAGCTTGAGTTAACAAGGTTTCACTCTTTAGGGTCATGGCTATATTTTTAGTTCTGGTTCCGTGGTAGTACTCATGAATAACTGTCACATGTAAAATTGCACTATAAAAATGAGCTGGTTACAAAAAATACAACCACAAAGCTTTACCCTGATGTGTTTTATTGATCCCTCTAAGGTGGGTGCAAACTGAGCTCAGAGAAGGCAGCACAGTGAAACCTCGTCAATTCAGGTTCTGTGCTTTTGCCAGGAGGTTACTGCTATTGGAATGTTTTATCCTGAATCTTTATATATATTTTTTTATTTCTTGTTTATATTTTTATTTTTTTATTTTCCTTTTTTTGTTTGCATCTTGCAAGATTTTGGGGACATCGTAAGAGAATCCTTAATACATATAAAAGTATCTCTTCATTATTATTATTATTATTATTATTATTATTATTATTTATATACACATGTGTATATATTTATATATATATAAATTCTTGGTAAGAGAGAATACTAAATCAAGACTATATAATAGCTGAAAGAATAGTTGTAGACCCGTTATGATGATAGCTGGTACCTCTCTTGCCTATTGGTCCATGATAATAAAACAAAATATTTTTTCACATATACAAAAAACCTAGGATTTGCTTCAACTGAGAAGGATTCTAACAATATACTGATACAAGTGTAGTGTCTCTTATCCAGAGTTTTTCAGGATAACCATTAATTTCTCAAGTTGCTCATGTACAAAAAATATTTTCAAATCAAGAATTCCTCTACTTAAAACAATTTTGAAATCAGCAGTTCATTTGTAAATAGTAAATTCAGAATCCTATTTTTTAAATCAATTCTCAATCATAGTATCTGGTTTACAGATAATGTTTGCACATGGTTAGGTACACATAGGTGAAGGAAAATGGGAATATATTATTTTTGTGAAACAAATATTTTTTTAATACATGTTGTAGAATCAAAAACTACTTATTAGACCAGGAAAAAAGGCATAAGTAACTTTGATACAAGTAATGAATGAATATTTTCAATGCTGTAGAAAGAAACAAAGATGATGATAGCCGATTGATATCCACAGAGATAGTAAGCTGGTCCACACAGATCTGGACAAAGATGACAGAATAGATTGACATTTTCTGTTCAATTCCTAATGTAGCAATAGACCCAGGATCAAAAACTGACAATTATAAGTC